TCCTCAATGGAACAATTTTCTTTTAACATGTCTCATTGTTATATATATATCTTTGAATTTGACAATTACTATACATTTATATTAATTTGAAAATTATTCCCAATTGGGAAAATTGATATATGTAGTTCAAGGAGAATAATTACTTCTATATTTAATAATGGAATCCAAAGTAATGCATAAAATACATATAAATTCTAAGGTGAAAAATTTACACGTTAAAATGTAGTGGAGGGGTCAGAATTTTTATTGCTAACATATTTGGATGCAAGAAGCAAACTTGTAATATTATTCAACAACATATTCAAGGCAAAAGTTTCACGAGTATCGTATTCGGATTGCATCTAACATTATATACAACTAAAGTTCAGACAAAAGATATTGAATTTCCTTTATACGATTTTATTTGAAGTTATACTTCGTAAAACCTAACTTCAAGACAATGCATCGATAAAGTTATTCAAAAGTAGATAGACTTGCAAAGTGATCCGAATATCGGATATCTTTGCACTTGGGCCTTGTCTAAGATTAAGATCCAAATTTTTGGACCTCCAAAAGTTGATTTGTTTGGTTGATTGATTTGGGCTAAATTTGGGAAAGGCCCAACTATTGACTAGGTTGAGGCTAGTCATTATGTTGTTGGGCTTTTAACAATATTAGAGCACCCAACTAGTGATCCAACCTCTTATTTCGGTTTTCTCGAATCGATAAATTTATAAATCGGAATTCTGATGCATATAGATACAAATGGTTTAATAGGAACAACAACTTTCACAAATATTTGGAACAGTCCATTTCGGAGAAGAAAATGAAGACCACTCGATCAATCTCATCCACTTGATAATTCGTATTAAAAGTTACTAACTCAACTTTCTCTCACTACATATTCTAAATGAAAATTGAACTAATAATGAAATAGTTAAATTTAACTAGAGCTATGTATATATATATAAGCAAAAAAAATATTAAGACTACAACTTTAACAAGAAAAGTAAAAAGTAAAATATTGTATTTAACTAAAACAAAAACATCAAGAAATTAAACAATGAAACATAATCACAATGTGTATATACCATTTAGTGAATAATTTTTTATTGATAGAGGTTTGATTCATTGAATTAAAATAAATTAATATATCCCATAAAAAATATATCTTTGATTTAAATTAAATAGAATTGAAAAACTTTTATTTTTAAGAAGAGTTGTTGATATTAAATTAGGGGTGGAGGATGAATGATGCAATTTTTTTTGATACATATATATTTGGACTTTAGTGAATAAAAAGAATAAATGAGTCATGACAGGTATTTATTTTATTTAAATAATAAATTTTGGGCGGTTAATTATTTCTATTAGTACTTAATAACCTAATCTATATTGATTAGCTATTTGGACGGTGTGATTAGCTATACATGAGCTTAATTAAAAAGGAAAATTAATAATTGCTACATATTATACATCTTAGACATTATTGTGCTATTTTTTTAAAAATAATTATATGTTAGGCTAATGATATATACAATGAAAATGAGCAAGTGATGCAAATATTAATACGCCTATCTTAGAGTTACTTTCTCTGTCACATTTTATATGACCTAGTTTAATTATCGTATACAGATTTTTAAAAAGAAAACTTTTAAAAATTTATGGTCTAAAATAAGTTCATACATTTGTGTGGCTATAAATCATTTCATTAAGGATAAAATAAACATTTTAAAGTGAAATTATTACTGAATATAAAAATATTTTATTCTTCTTGGAACAGACTAAAAAGAGAATAAATTGTATAAAATGGAACAAAAAGAGTAACAAGTTATATACGTGTGAATTTGTTTACATTATCGATCTTAATCTCGAATAAAAGAAAAGTATTTTCGAGTGTTAATCAGCATAATCTTCATAATCTTATAAAGGTAGGATTAAGATTATGTACTATTTTATTCTTCCAAGACTCTATTTATGAGATTACATTGAATTTATTGTAAATATGTTTCATCTGGTTTAATGAGATAGAACATTGGAATTATCCTTTTCCAAATGATGTTAATTACATCAAGTTCTGGATGAGCTTAAGTAAACACTTAAATTTGTACAAAATTGAGTAAACAGATTGAAAGAATATATTAATCGTATAGAAAAAAAAATTTCACAATACATGCAAATCGTCACACACGACAATCACGCGGGATGCACTTAAACAGGTTTGTATTGTGCCCTTTAGAACGTTGTTATTCAACTTTATATACATTTCAATATCTATTTATACACACTCACGTTGAAGAATATGTATATCAGCTAAAATCAAATTAAAAAGGTATGTTTATCTATATTCTTATATTTATCAATAAAAATATTTATACTATATAATAACATTAGTATAATCCAAATTTTCATAATTACAACTTACAAGTTTAACTTACCACATGTTACAAAATAATTTGTTTTGTGGACTTTTTGGACTTTAATTTTTGTGCTTTTAGGTGTGTATTACAGATAAATTTATCTGGCACCTCAGCCACCAAACAAAATGACAACATTCTGTCCCATTGTAACTATTAAAATACAAAATAAATAAATGTTTTTTTTTAAAGTTTTTTTCTTCGTAATGATTTAGCATCAATTGGGACCCACTCCATACTTTAATTTTTATTGGATAAGTGTAGAAAAATGGATTTGTGATAAGATAAACAATTACCTAATCTCATCATATTCTCTTTGGTGGTCCCATGTGTTATATTTATTTTTAAGTTCGAATTAATTAAAAATTAAAAAGTTTTATTTAAAAATAAAACACTTTTAACTTATTTAGGGTTTGAATTTAAAGTTATATATAATTTCATCATTTCATAAGTAAGAATTCACATATTATTAATATAGGTTATGATATCGTAGTAGGTGTGTTTTATTCTAAATTTTAAATATTGAGAAAATCTTATTAAAAACGTCACCTCTAAAATAGACCCTAATCTATATTAATCGAAGCTTCGATATAAACTTCAGGTACTATATTTAGAGGAAAAAAAAAGGATTGACATATTAAAGGAATATACAATTTTTAAAAGAAGAACACCAATAATTATCTTGAAAATATGAAATCATATGTAATGTTTTCATTTTATTAGGAAAGAAAACAAAAAAAGAAATTTGTCTTTTTCAGGAAAATAGAAAATAGAAAATATATCGATTGATGATTTAATGATATGATCACGACTGCAATAATATATTTAATATAATTTCGTATGTGATATTAGGAAAAAAGTAAAATTTATATTAGTTCGATCTAATTCTTTTTAAAATAAAGAAATTATTTTTGATGAATTCTTGATAAATTAAAAATAACGAAAAATGAACGAGACATAACAATAACGAGTAAAAATGATCCTCACCTATCGAAAATATTAAAAAATAAGAACAACGTAATAATATAATAATCGAAGCAAATAAATTTAAACCTGTTCCACACAAAAATAAAAATACTTTACTAAAAACATTTTACCCTAATTCTAAAATTTATTACTCATTAAAATTTAAAAATTTGTCTGGTTTAAATTCCTCTACTATTCTTGATTAGTAAATGTTTGGACTAGAAAACTCTAGATGATTCATTTGTCTAATATAATGACGTGTTACAAAATGTTTAAAGTCAAAATATATTTTTTTTGAAAAAATTAATTGGAACTAATTTTTAAAAAGCAAAAAAATAATTTTAAAATGTTATTATCTTCCTTGATTTATATATAGTTGCACTAATTATCTTTTAAATAAAACAAATTAACACATAAAAGATAAATATATATACCTCCAAAATTAAATCGATTTTCACAAATTCTATATATTTGTTTCTTTGTTGTAAAACTAAAAAGCTTCTAATTTAAATAATATTTTTGTAGCTAAAACACTTTTTTTTTTATACATAAAACAAAAGTATTGTCCATCACCTTTTTTATTATTATTTTTATTTTTATAAAGTTTATAATTATTTTGCAATACAGCTAGCAATATACCGTTGCTAGACATGATATGTCCTTTTCCCCACCCTTTTTGGGGTCCAAATTCCATTTGTGAGCTTTTTCATTTAGCTTTACCAAAAATAAAATTACGTTTCGAATCAATTTACGTACATCTCAATCACTTTATTATACATAATAATATTATTATTATTAGTGTCGAATAACTCTACGATTTTGTCTATTAAGAATTATACAAATGAGAAAAAATTATCAACTATATTTTGCTTTTATAAATGTCTGAATCTGAAACCTCATAAGTTTTCTCCTACTTCATTCGGTATCACACCCTATTACGAACTAATTTGCTATTTTTATCTATAGTTTTAAAGAAAAAGTCAATGAGTTTTTGATGGTTAGAAACACTTGATTGATATGAGCAATATGACATTAATCATCAAATTAGCCTATGAATGACAATGACTCACGTAGAAGTTAAATCCAAACTGAAAAAAGCTTTTACAAGATTACTAGCAGCGCGCGATCAAAGTATAATTTTTCGACTATGAAAAAAGCTTTTACTTCGCTAGCCTATCATCTTCAAAAGTAAAAACCTCAAGCGAACAATATCATCTCATATAAGAATACTCTTGAATTATCTTAACCCAAATAAAAATCACCATACAGACATTAAGTAAGCAATTGAATATTACGACAAAATAGTTCAAAGTTTCTTCAACCTTGATAAAATATCCTGATTCAAGCTTTTGAAATAACGAGTTATGCCCTTCAAATGAATCATGTAACACACAAACTCAAATTTAATGCAGATAACGAACATCGATCGCGAAAATAAAAAGGGCAATTGAATTGAGCCGTTGTGTGACAAAGATGTATTGGTTGGCTAATGGGACCAATTGCAAGCTCATAAATTCCCCCAATAATTTGCATTTGGGACCACATTATAATTATTATAACTCAAAAAAAAAATTTAATTTTTTTAATTAAAAAATTAAAAAAAAATACTCTTAATCAAACATAAATACCATACCACTACTCTCTCACTCTACACACCAAACAAAAAAAACTTAACACAAAAAAAACAGAGCATACTCTGTTTTCCCCTGTTTTTCTCTAACAAAAAAACAGAGCATCCTCTGTTTTCACTCAGATGACGAAAGAAGTCGAAGCGGTTCACGAGCAGGCGGTGGAGTACTCCGCAAAGGATTACACTGATCCACCGCCTGCTCCTCTGATCGATTTCGAGGAATTGACCAAATGGTCACTATACAGAGCAGCAATAGCGGAGTTTATTGCTACTCTGTTATTTCTATATATAACTATTCTTACAGTAATTGGTTACAAACATCAAGCTGATGTTAAAGCCGGAGGCGATATTTGCGGTGGTGTTGGTTTACTTGGTATTGCTTGGGCTTTTGGTGGCATGATCTTTGTTCTTGTTTACTGTACTGCTGGTATTTCTGGTGAGTTTTTTTTTTTCGAATTTACTCGTTTTTGAATTTATACGTAAAAGATATTAAGTTCTGTCGAATTCATAACTATATAGGTTGCCTTGTTAGTGTCCTTTGTTGAGTGATATTAGAAAGAAGTGGATATGATTAGTTTATGTTTTATCGTTCGGTTGAATTTAGTAATTTTGAAATAAAAATAAGTAGGAATTCGTTTTTGAGTTTATACGTAAAAGGTATTAAGTTCGGTCGAATTCATAACTATATAGGTTGTCTTGTTAGTGTCCTTTGTTTAAGTGATATTAGAAAGAAGTGGATATGTTTAGTTTATGTTTTATCGTTCGCTTGAATTTAGTATTTTTTCGAAATAAAAATAAGTAGAGTGAAGGGTTAAAAATGGCCATATATTAAGAAAAAGTAAACAATTTTTGATATTTGTTAAAAAAAAATGTTTCATTTCTTACCTTTGTCGCTAGTAAATTGGCTCGATTTTTCTCTTTTTTTTTCACGAGATAAATGGAGCTATGAGGTATTTAGATGAATTCAGGAATTTTGAATGTAAAATATAAATATATGTGTAAAAAAATCAACTGAAATTACGATAATTAATAGATATAAATTCATCGTAGAGCTAAATACTTGTATCCAACTATATATACTAAAAACAACAATTAAAAGGGAATTTTAGACCATGGACTAAGTTTTTAAACAAAAAAACCAGTCTTGTTTTTGCTTTGTTCAAATTCTTTACGATTATTATAACAAGTTAAAATATATTCGTCCTTATCAAGTAGTAATTTATTTTTAGGGTTCAATTGAATTTAATATTTTTGATGTTAAAACAAGTAGGGTGAAAGGGTTAAAATGACTATAAACTACGAAAAAATGATACAGTTTAACCCTTCGTTAAAAAATTGTCTCGTTTCTTACCTTTGTCGCTAGCAAAGTGGCTCGATTTTGCTCTTCCAGGCTTACGAATATGAGTAAATGAAGCTTTGACATATTAGTTTCAAATAAAAGGGAAAATTTAGACCATTCTTAAAGCTTTTACACATAACATGTCATATAAAATCAATCTTGTTTCTGCTTTGTTCGAATTCTTTACGATTATTATAACAGATTAAAATATACTGATAATATATGTGATGGATTGTAGGTGGACACATCAACCCTGCTGTGACATTTGGGCTATTTTTGGCAAGGAAGGTGTCATTGATTAGGGCTATATTGTACATGGTAGCACAATGTTTGGGTGCAATTTGTGGTGTAGGTTTTGTTAAGGCTTTTCAAAGTGCATACTACAATAGATATGGTGGTGGTGTTAATGTCATGGCAGGAGGACACACCAAGGGTGTTGGTTTGGCTGCTGAAATCATTGGTACTTTTGTATTGGTCTATGTTGTCTTCTCCGCCACCGACCCTAAACGAAGCGCCAGAGACTCTCATGTCCCTGTAAGTAAAATCGAATTCAGACTTCACATATTTTAAATACTGAATCTGTTGTCAACGTTACATAATGATATGACACAAAATAAAGTATTATTATATTGTATACTCTAGTCTAGTTTAGCTTGTTTAGGGGGTAGGTAGGATTAGGGTTTGGGTGGGTGGGGGGTTTACTTTAATTAATTTCCCCACTAAAAATCAATAATGTGGCTAAAAACAAATCTTATCTTTAATATTTGAAGCATTTTTTTGTGTGGTGTTAATTAGTAAGTGGCCTACCCATTATTAATCTAATTATTTTTCTTGATTTATTAAAGTGGGAGGTGACCTAACTAAAACACTTTAGAAAATACAATATAATGAAGTGATTTTGCTTAGTTTGTAATGATATTAAAGATATACACCTATCATATCACTAAATTATTATATAATAAATTTAAATTAATATGAAGTTTTTAAATTAAAACATATGTTTAAAATAAGTGAATATATGTATATAATAATATATTAGCTCATTAAAGATAAAAAAGAAGTACTTTAAAATTTTGTTGTTGTTTAATATTTATTTTGTTATGTTATCTATCGTGTTTTTTTTATATAGTTTTTAATAAAAATTGGTTATGAATAATTTTTTTAAAAATTATTTTACCTTTTTTTACGTCTTAAATAAAGGTCTTGGCCCCACTCCCCATTGGATTTGCCGTATTCATGGTTCACCTTGCCACTATTCCGATCACCGGTACCGGAATCAACCCGGCGAGGAGTTTCGGGGCAGCTGTGATTTTCAACGGTGATAAGGCGTGGGACGAACACTGGATTTTCTGGGTCGGGCCATTTATCGGAGCTTTCATCGCCGCTGTCTACCACCAGTACATTCTCCGAGCCGGAGCAATTAAAGCTCTTGGTTCATTCAGAAGCAATGCGTGATAAAAGATGGAATAATTTGAGAAATTTGTAAATAAAAAGTTTGTTATGTCACATCTATCGTAAAATGTAACGTGCATCGAGCTTTAAAAAGTTTGTTATTTCAAATGGGGGAAAAAAAGGTGTGACTATTCTATCCTTTTGATTTATTTTTTTGTTTTGTTTGCTTTGGATGTATTTAAGTTAAATCTATTTGTAATGTTTGGTTTTATCTAGTTGTCCCTTTGTTATCTTTTTTTGTATTTCTCCTTGATTTCATGTACATTATAATAATAGTGTATATGTTGGGTTAAATTTTTTTTTCATGTACTTTGAAATGATTAATTTTGTGAACGCAAATTGTATTTGAGTTGATGATTTATCAAAATCTATGTACATCATATTTTGCGTAAATATGTTGTTGTCAATATAAATATCATCCAAACGAACATATTTGGAGGCGTAAATAAACTTTAAACATGTACAGTGCAATTAAAAATGTTCGATATGAAGGAAAATAAATAGAAGTGGTGTAGGAATGGAGGTTACCGAGATGGGATAAAGATGAGCTGAACTGAAGGATGAGAAGATATAATTAATATATGACATTATATGTGTGAAATTTATTTTCGTTATATATTTTCCTCAATTTTTTTTAAAAAAAAGTTAGTTGACTAAACATGAAAAAATTGAATAATATTTTTCGTGGTACAAAACACACTATGAAAGCAACATGCTACCTACACAAGGGAATCTCTAAAGTGATGCAAAAATTGGCAAATTCATTTAACTAGGGTTGTCATTTTCACCAAGATGATAAGGTTATGGATTATTTTGTTAATGTATAGGTTATATAAGGATTATCATAAAATTAGTATTGTGTAATAGTATGGAATTTCCTTTTCTAGATAATAATTCGATAGACGTGTGAGGGTATTAGGAAAGATAAGATTAGAAACAAAGATATATAAGGTAAGATGACAGTGATATAAACAATGTATAGTGTATACACTATTAAAAATGAAGTCGAAATGGTTCGGACATGTAAAGAGGAGCGATGTCGATATCCAAGTAAAAAAAGTGCGAAAAGTTGACACTGATAGTGTAATTATTGATTGATAAGAATATGAAGATGTGATTAAATATGAAATGACATACATTAAGCTTATCGAGCACATCAACACTAGATAGGAGAGTATGTAGGTCAAGAATTAGAATATAAAGTTAGTAGATAGTCAAGTGATTTTAAAATATAAGGAGGGACGTGCTTTCTCCCGAAAAAAAGTGTGAGAGGTTGACAATAATAGGTCGCCTAAGGACACATAGAGATAGATTGAAGAAGATCATTGATAAAAATAATTAAACAAAACACGACATACCTTAAGCTTATCGAACACATGATCAAATACTAAATATGAAAGCATAGATGTCGGGAATCATAAAAGAAAATTAGTAGGTAATCGAATAATTTCTTTATCTTTTCTAGGAGAGCGTGCTTCTCAATTAGAGCACCTTATTTGCTCCTTCATCTAATATCATTACGTTTCTTTCCTTCGATATTTTCATCATAACTTTTTCATTTTTATACTTTTTAGAAAAATCTATTCTGAATAACACGTGAACTCTTATTTAATAATCATATTGGATTTAAAATTGTTTCACACAGAATATTATTTTTATTAGAAATAATCTTTCTATTCCATAAATATAATTTATATAAACTTTACTTTTTCTAAACCCTAATTATTAAATTAAATTATTTTATTATTATTCAATTATTACCCAATATATATTTGTTGTGTTCCTAAACTTGTGGCTTATTTCAAGCATTCTTATCCATTAACCTATATACTAATATAGTATTAGTATATAATATTCATAAAGCTTTATCTTCTAACTATATATTATATCAAAACTAATTTTTTTGGGGTTTGATGCTTCTCGAAAGTGCTATGATTGTTCAATGCCATTTATTTATCTACCAAGCCTTTATTTAATGGTATGTAACGTGTTAGGTGAGCTATATCTTTTAATTTCCTAACAATAATTACATATAGAGCTTCGTGTAATTGATAAAGTTGATATTACAATTAATTAGCAGGATTATGTATTCGTGTAATTGATAAAGTTGATATTACAATTAATTAGCAGGATTATGTATTCAAATTATAAAAATAACCTCTCTATATATATACAGAGTGAGACGTATATAATAAATTATTTTGATATTTTATTACTTTTTCAAATTTTGCGCATATATAACAGTAATATATCAAATGTAATTTCTTAATTATATTTACAAAATTGAGAATATCTAGCCTCCCCGTATTTTACATGTGGAAGTCACAATATATAATTGTATATAGAGTATAATTTTATAAGATTTTTTTTAAAAAAAATAATTTAGACGTATGCAAACATATTATTTTTGGGTTTGTAGGATCTTTTTTGGTTTTTCTATGTATTAACGCATGGAAGTTAGGAGCTTTTTGGCATCGGAAAGATTTTTCTGAAAAAACTTTTTGAGGGCCTCTGTAATGAGTTAGCGAAGTATATCGTATAGTTTCATTATTTTAAGGCATACTTTTATATTTAGGGGCTAACTTTTATGAATTAAGAAATTTTCTTAGTTTTTCTTGTGTATTAATCCATGGATGTTGACGCCTTTTGTCACCTGGAATATTTTTCTGAAAAAAAATATATGAGGACCTTCGTGTGAGTTGGAGTAGCATTATATATTGTCCCACTATTTTAAGACATATTTTGCACTTAGAGACCAACTTTTATGAATTACGCGAGTTTTTTGATTTTTCCTATGTATTAGCCCATAGAAGTTGGTGTTCTCTAGCGCCCGATAGGCTTTTCTGAAAAAAAAAACTTTAGAGGATTTTCGTAATGAGTTGGAAGAACTTTCAGGAATTACCATACTTTCTTGATTTTTCGTGTATATTAATCCATAAATATTGGCGCCTGAAAGGTTTTTCTGAAAAAACTTTATGAGTACTTTCTAATGAGTTGGAAGAGCTTTTAGGAATACCACACTTTCTTGGTTTTTCGTGTGTATTAGCCCATGAATATTGGTGCCTAAAAAGATTTTTTAGAAAAAACTTTATGAGGACTTTCGTAATGAGATGGAAGTGCTTTTAGGAATTACCGTACTTTCTTGGTTTTTCCGTATGTATTAACCCATGAATATTGACGCTTGAAAAGTTTTTTTTGAAAAAAATTTATGAGGACCTTCATAATGAATTGGGGGAGCATTACGTATAGTTCCACCATTTTATAAGGCTTGATATACTAACCTTTTAATTTGTTGTTTCTTCTTCTTTTTTTTTAATTTCTCATCACGTATTTGATATCCATGATAGAGCTCGACTAATTTATTATGCATCGCATGCGATCCTATTTAAGGAAAACACTCTCTATCACGAACTTTTTTTTATATTTAAAACTTATATATAAAATTTCTACTTAAAAAAAAAAAGTAACCTCAAATACTGCACTACGTTCTTCGATTTTTTTTTTAAAAAAAATTCTTTCCTTAATAGATAATGTTCCTCTTATCATATGGTCAATTTTAAGGGTTGGTGAAGTTCCTATCTGTCACCTTCATCAATTGCTCATCTCTTCCTAACTCTTATCTATTCAATAAATTATTTTTTTCTAATGTAACTTAGTTGTGTTTTTAGCTTTTTAATTAGAGTGAGCCTTGGCTTTTAATTATAAATTTTTGCACTTTTGCATATTATGTATCTGCATGTTCGAAATACGAAATCATGATTATTAAAGCTTTCGATGTATATAAGTAGGTGAATTTTTCAAAAAATTATAATCGAACTTCACTTGACCTAAATTTTGAGGATTTATTCCAAACATTATTTGCTTCACAAATTCTGAAGTTGCTTTTTTTTTTTTGCATTTTTGAGCTGATGTATAATAATACGGATTATTCGAAAAATTAGTCAAACGATCATTTAAAAAAAATTCACACAATTAGTCGTTTATATTTTGCTTATAATAAATGGATAATTGAAGGGAAGCCTCGACACTTTGTTGGATGTGACAAAAAGGTTACGAGTTTAAATTGTAAAAATAGTCTAGTGTGAATATGTGGAGTAAGACTCATAAAACTCTTATAGTCCGATCTTTCCCAAAATTCCATATTATTATTATTATTATTATTATGAAAAAAGAATGCACATAATACATACGTGAATTAACAAAGAGCTTTATAAGGCATTGCACAAATTTATATGATATATGCGCTTTTGTGTTCAATTAAAGTGTAGCCCAGCAAGATAAATTCGCGAAATATATTAGGCCAAAGTAGACGATACATATTATAAGGCTTGAATCGTGACCAATATGATTATCAAAATATCAATTTGAAATCAAGAAAATAAAATGTGAAAGTCCAAAGATTTTAAGATATTATTTTACTATATACTATTTATAATATTAGCTTTTGGATTGAAATTGATAGAATATGGGCCAACCAGCTTGTACTATAGTCCAGCCCAAACGTGACCCATTTTGATAAATGGGCCCAACTCAGCACTATACAACCTATCAAAACTATCGTTATTTATGAAAAATTTCTCAATTTTCCGAAACGCACCGAATCAATATTTTTACTAAAAGAATTTAAAATATATAAAAAGTTAAAATGAAATACCCTTTGTTTCATTTTATTTGGCCCTTATAAGGGATTTGTTTTTATTAAAATTATCCATATTAATTAGACTATTCAAAAGTCAAACCAGACTATTATATCACTTTAGTTAGTCATTTAAATGATAAATTATTGAAGTAAGCTTTTTTTTTTTAATACAAGATTCAAATGAAATAAAAAATAAAGTATTTTCAAAAAAGTTCATAGGTTTAATAATATAAGTAGTTCCTTTATATATATATATATATGGACCATTTCATGTGACATTGAAAACTAGAGGGCACAATTCTTGTGACAAAAAATATAAGAGGTGCACAAGTGAAACTCATGAAATAATTATTGTCCTTTGTGTTAGCATATGTTGCGGTGGAATGATTCAGAATAGAGATAAATTTAAAATGTATGAATTTTCGTAACAATTTTAAGTTAATAATCAATAATAATGAGTTCATGTAAGTTATAAAATTTGAACAAAATCTATTGATATTCGTGAACTGGTACCCGACAAGCTGAATTAGATTCTAAAATCGTCCACTCGCGAGTAAATTTCAAGCCGAAAGAGGGAAAAAGAAGTTAAATAAGCATCCAACTCCAATACCAACAAATAGCAATACTTATCTGATCTAAAATTTTGAGTTCGAACTACGAAAA